TTTAAATTGTACAGGAATTAATCTGGGTAGTCAATCATTTTTTTTATTATTAATTTAGAAAGTCATTTATGCACGCGCTTTGATACAATGTTCTGGTAATGTCGCGGTCGAATGTTCCAGAACGAAGCCGTCATGTTTTTTTCTTTAACGTCTTTCAGAAATTTGAGAATGTGTATTCATGGAATAAGAAGTGTGGCAGTATCCCTTTGTTGCATATTTGAAACAAGTGTCAGTCCATTGAGCCTTTTGTAACTGCGCATACGGTAATGTATACGTAGTCAGAGTTGACTAAGATAACGAAGGAAGCAAAGTAAATATATGTACATGACTGGAAATAAGATCAATAGGAAACAATACTACACATAATGCTATCTGGTGTAGCCAACCGTTGTAAACTTGAAATGTCATAACGTGTTTTATACACACCATTTCCTTTACTTTTAATTTCAACATAGGTGTTGTGAATACTTCAGATATAAATGTTGATTCTTTAGGCCTTTTGTATCGACGAAGACACTAATATGTACGAAATGTCATACAATGAAGGTTGTTGCAAAACTTTGTTTCGCTTCCCTTTTTTTTCTTGATTGTTTTAGAATCAGAAACAAAGTTCGGCTTTAAAAACTTAGCGTCTATGCCCTCTGTATCATGTGTAATTGTATCAAATAGATGCTAACATGAAAATGTCAGTGTCTCCCATTATGTCATGAATGGTCCCCGTATGTGAGACCGGTGGTAATTGAAAGTGTTTCTCTGGATTTGATATGAGCCACACACATCACAAAGTGCGAAGAAAATGCTTTCAGGTCAGAACAGATGGAATGCTTCCATGTCAGGAAAAAGTTGGAAAACCTAAAAGGCTTGCACCTCGGAACACAAAATCGCTCTAATTTCGAAACACAGAAAAGGTTTCCTATTCGGATATTAAAAAAAAATAACATTCGGAACAAACACGTAGCAGACATTCAGTGTTTGGAACACAGGAAAGGATAAGTCTGTATCTTGTCATGGCATTGCAATTTCGCATCAACTTTGATTTCCTATTTTACCCTTGAACATACTTTCTGTGGTAACTTTTTTGTTCTATATCTATTCTAAACAGGAAAACGTTAACGAAGTACGGCATTTGAGTGTTTAAGGATGATTAAATTTATACTCAAGATATTGTCCAGATATGTCTACATATTTGTTATATGCGACACGCGAGAAACACAAAGTTGATAAGATGAGACAGAAGATTTATCGTGAAACCTTCGTCGAGTCGTGTCATTCCTCCTTTCTTTTGAAACACGCGATCTCAAGGTCAACGTCACCACGTTAATAATTTCCAATTAGCTCTCAGTTTGATAAAACTGTATCGCTCTAATGGACTAATGGCACGATGAGGTAATCTTGGATAAAATATATTGATGTTTATGTAACAGAACGACACCCGCGGTATTACACCGTAGTAGGAATTCTAAAGTATATATGTATAATTGCATATATCGATAAGATACACGTTTAAATTCATCCGTTGCTGATGCAGGATACTTCATTTTTGGCATACTGTTTTTATAGAAGATATAAGATTACAAGTTGATAATATAATAAACTTCATTTATTTTACAACAATTATGAAACAAGTTATTTCAACTTATATTAATCACTCAGGTTGGCCCGGATGTGAGCGCGTGGGTTCTTGGTGTGGGAGAAAAACCGAGTACCCGGAGAAAAACCCACGTGGTCGAGCAGGTGACCCCATAGGGAAAGGCAAGTGCGCTATCCACTACACCACCCGACCACAAGGTGATAGACTCTGCTAGATGATTTCCTAGTCCTCTAGGTTCGGTCAAACCTTGATAGCCACACCATTTTGTTTGAGTAGTGGCATGGTTCATAGTATACACACATTACTCATTGTTTATTTTGATATAAATGTGGACATCGTATATGTCTGAGAGGTTTATTGCCGTTTACTGCTGTTTCTTGAGTAGTTACATGTAAGATCAATTCGGATTTCCACCGAAGCCACCAGCATCATTGATGAGTCCTAGAAGGGGGAAACATATGTATGAACAACATTGGGCCAGTCCAATATTGAAGTAGCCCTATATTGAATAAGTGACCAACTTCACACTGTTAATGTATGGTGCACTTTAATTTACTTTTTTGCACAATGTATCTATTGCGGAATTGTATTGGTGCACGTGAATGTGTGTGTGTCTTGCGTTCACGAAAACAAGATAATGACATATGTGTTCAACACTACAATTATATGAAGCCCGAGAGCTCTCACAACTTAAATGATAAACAAACTATACTACGTGATCTGACAACAATAACCACTTTGCCCCTAACCCAACAGCAGATACCAAGATGCAGTACAAACTATTGAGAGCGTTTAAGGCATTATCAATCTGAACATTGACAATATTTTAACAAATTCCAACAAACATTTTTTTTATATCAAAATCATTTTATAATGCACAACACCAATCTCTACTTGTGTCGCCTTCCTCTTTTATTTCCTCTTTGATATGCACTTTTGTGATATTAACATTTTTTTCATCAAACGTCGCTTATGAAACTTTTCAATTAAAACATGCACGGTTAGCGTATTGTTTGTGTGTATCATTATTGTAAGAACTGTAACTAAACATGGCTTATTCGAGAATAAACGGTCACCATTCTGAGGCAAAAATAACATAAATAATCAAATGTTTTGCAGCGAGTAACACTTTGAACATAATCAAGTTCTCTTCAAAATGTCCTTAATCAAATGTGTCCTGCTTTGACAGGATCCCACGACACAAAGTTCATTAGTCTAATGGTATTTTTAGTTATATTTTAACAATCTGTTACATTTTTACCATGTGTCTGATAATAATACTTTTAAATCCCAGAACATTTCTTTTCGTGTTAAAAGTCAAATGAGATATGGCGGGTTGCTATGCCTATTTCCCAAAAGCTATGTTACGCTAGTGCGCGCATCCAACCGTGCACTGTTATGACGCGTCCTCGGGTATTTTTTTACAGGTAGCAATATCGGAATCCCGTATCTAAGAATAGATTATTGTAAACAGACCACATATTTGGTATTTCGGCATTATTTGTTGGTGATTAAGCACTTGATATTAATTACTATTGCCAGTTGGAGGGTAAAACAATTCATAAATTTCATCAATAATAGTGTCTTACCTACAAAGCGTAGCTGAACTGTACACGTGTACAGGGATTTGTTGACATGCTTCGATAGAAGTATGTCGCACTAAATAGTAAAGAAATTATTACTAACAAAACTGATAAATCAATAGGTATGTTATTAAAATGTAAACAGAATCTTCCATCGAAAGAAAAACCCACCATTGCCTTTTTAAGGAAAATGATCACATGCCTAATTTTAAAAAAAAATAACCTGAAGATGGATTCGAACCTTTACAGTTTATTTTCTAGTCGCAAGTAAACTGCGTTACACATTCGGCTACATAGAACATTTAGATATTGGCAATTACGAACTTATTTAACCCGAGAACCACCGGTCGCAGTTTAGAGAAACTTGAATACCCCTGTTTTCATTATTTTGAGCACTTTCCCAAAGGAGGACCACTTTTCCGTAATACGATTTGTTTTTGCATATTACATCACGGTCACAAAAAGTTTGTTCAAAAGTTGGTCCTCGGATGAAAAAGTGTTGAAAGTATTTTTTTAACTCCGGGAAACCCCATCACTTTCATAGATATAGTGTATATAGCTATATTTGCAGTTTCATATTAGCAATACCTAATTTATCATCAGTTTAAAAATTCATATTCAATTGGTTTTGTATCTTTTGTATGCATAATTGCTACACGAAATGTTTTACTCCTTAATTTTTTTTCCCGTTTTCATAAATGCCGACTTGGGGAAATACGGGAAGTTTTCCGCCATACCTCTTTAAAACATAGCAGCGCTGTGAATATGAAATTTACAGAATCGTGTCAGTTTTAACGCATGGCACAAATACACATAACTTGAATAAGTTTCGTCTTCTTTGACGTTGGGGTTTTGTAATATAGAACACAATTGAGGACAGCGTTAATGCACAAAGGATGAAGTCGATACAGAGGCCATAAAATAATTGCCAAAACTAACGATAAAAAGGGAGGATTATTTTTACAAACGGAGGCGAAACTGAGTGTTCCAGAGTATTAATTAATGTACAGTATCCCGAATATTTAAAGCATTTATTTGTTCTAAGAAGGACAATAACAAACCCCCGAAAATACCGAAAAAAAGGAATCCCATGAAACCTGTATATTTGTTGATCTTCAAACGTGAACATTAATGCAAGCAGGCATGATGCACAGCAATACCCAGGTTTTCCAATTTCAGACTCTTCAATCTACGCTAATTGTTCACACCAGTCATCGTAAATCCATTTATTATATTTCTGCTTTGATCGCTGTAAAAGACTTCATGATTGACTTCTCGTTGATGACCTATAATTGTTTAAGTATTTTGCAAGCGACACCATGATGGGCCCCGTAAGTGGTGCAGGAAAAGGTTATCCTTAACCTCCGCTACTCCTTGAAATTTGATCCAGAAGTCGCCTAAATTCCTACTTTTTAATTTTTATATCTCTTCACTTTATGTTCAGTTTTCGTCCTTGCGCTGATATGATGTACTATTTTTTATTCTTTATCACATTCTATTTTTAGCTGACTATTTAACGGAAATCTTATGACAAAATAATCTGATTTAACTTGTGATCAATCTAATGACGCTAAGTTCACACACAATTTAACACCAACCTCGCGACTGATTGGCCTCCTATCAGGTTTGATAGACGGCACGGAGGCAACAGATCAATGGGATCGTATAGAGCACCTCCCCGTAGAGATGTACTCTCGCTACGTGTAATCCTTACAGTGTTGATCGAAGGCACGTACGGTTATGTACCAGTGATCTGTGATTGACCGGTAATGTCCAGCATCGCACTGTGACGTTGCTTACACTTATCTATAATTGGGACACCGGAGAAAAATAGGAGCGTTTTAAGGTGAGTTACAACCTTATATGTTTAATCTTTTGAAGTTTCTTTTCCAAACTAAACTTTTGGCATATATATCAACCATTGTCATATTTTAAGGTGACTCATAGCGTATTATTTTGAATCGTTTGTAGTTTCTTCCAATCTGAACTTTTTGCACATACAGGAACAACTGTCATATGTTAAACATATATAGAATTTCGAGATTTGTTAGTAATTAGAAAACAGAAATCAAAACAAAAACAAACAAACAATGGGAAAATCAAATCAGAAACAAATTAAATCCGGTTAAAACGAGTTTCCTATATAATACACCTATTAAAGCAAGAGTATGAATTTAAGATATGTTTTATATTTTAACTCTATTGCAATTGTTAACACCACTGCCTACTGTGTTCTGTGCAACAAAGTTATGGAGGTCTATCAATTCGCGATGTTTGTCATAATAGTGTAATCCTGTGACTGGAATATCAGGAACCGTTAACATAAAATGTTTATTTCGTTTGTCAAATTGTACGGTTTTCTGTATTTTACAATGAATAACAGACATGTTCTCCCTGTCAGTTTATGTGTTTTGGGATACTTTAGACACTTCTTTTACTATGAGTACCGATGATGAGGCCTGAAAAGAAATATTAGTGATATGGTGCTGTAAAGTGATTATTGCGTGTGATTCTCTGTAGTTACAAGTTTAAGTTGTTTTTACTACTTACAATATTTGGTTAACAACAATGAACACACTTTAAGTTGTATTTATTATGTTTTCTAAACAACGTGTGACAAGCTGCTCATGTATACTTACAATTAAGCTACACCACATGTGTAGAGATCGCATGGGTTTTGTATTTATTTGTCTAGTTAGCATGTTTAATAACTTTTGGTTCTACGGAACTATACACAATTATATCAAATTTGTATGTTAATTGTTTGTGTCAACTGACAAGAAAAATCACTTTCATGGAATATTGTATATCACACGGTCGTCGGCATTGCTGTGCACTATTAGTCCGTTGGTTGCTGGTTGATTTTTCTAACATGGCCATATTTAAGGCAGGCATTGTACAATAACTGTATGTCTTGAGACATCGGCGGCTATTATGGTTCGAGGAATGAGTGCAACAACAGTTTTATATAAAGTAAAACACGTACCATTTTCAACGAACTATTAACAGTTAATATTAATAATTTTCGTCATTTCTTATATAAGTATCAGCAGAGTGCCAAGAATTGTGAATATGTGCCAAGTTGATAATTGTATATTTGTGGTTTGTAATAATTCAGTTCGGAGAATTTACGACAACTATTATTTTATGGCATTACATATCTGTAGTTCTCTCCCTTTGCAATGTTGTCTCCGTAGTTCTCTCCCTTTGAAGTATTGTCTCTGTAGTTCTCTCCCTTTGTAATGCTGTCTCTCTAGTGTCTCCCTTTATAATGTTGTCTTCGTAGTGTCCCCCCTTGTTATGTTATCTCCGTAGTTCTCTCCCTTTGTAATGTTGTCTCCGTAGTTCTCACCATTTGTAATGTTGTCTCCGTAGTCTCTCTCTTTGTAATGTTGTCTCCGTAGTTCTCTCCCTTTTTAATGTTGTCTCCGTAGTTCTCACCATTTGTAATGTTGTCTCCGTAGTCTCTCTCTTTGTAATGTTGTTTCCGTAGTCTCTCCTTTTGTAATGCTGTCGTCGTAGTCCTTCCCTTTTTAACTTTGTCTATAGTTCTCTTTATTTGCAATGTTGTCTCCGTAGTTCTCTCCCTTTGCATCGTTTTCTCTTGTTCTTTCCCTTTTTAAATTTATATATAGTTCTCTTTATTTGCAATGTTGTCTCCGTAGTTCTCTCCCTTTGCAATGTTTTCTCTAGTTCTTTCCCTTTTTAACTTTGTCTATAGTTCTCTTTATTTGCAATGCTGTCTCCGTAGTTCTCTCCCTTTGTAATGCTGTCTTTGTAGTGTCTCCCTTTGTAATGTTGTCTTCGTAGTCACCCCCCTTGTTATGTTGTATCCGTCGTTCTCTCCTTTTGTAATGCTGTCTTTGTAGTGTCTCCCTTTGTAATGTTGTCTTCGTAGTCTCTCCCTTTGTAATGTTGTCTTCGTAGTCTCTCCCTTTGTAAGGTTGTCTTCGTAGTCTCTCCCTTTGCAATGTTGTCTACGTAGTTCTCTCCGTTTGCAATGTTTTCTCTAGTTCTTTCCCTTTTTAACTTTGTCTATAATTCTCTTTATTTGCATTGTTGTCCCCGTAGTTCTCTCCCTCTGTAATCATGTCTTTGTAGTGTCTCCCTTTGTAATGTTGTCTCCGTAGGTCTCTCCCTTTGTAATCGTAGTCTCCAACCTTGTTATGTTGTCTCCGTAGGTCTCTCCCTTTGTAAGGTTGTCTTCGTAGTCTCTCCATTTGTAATGTTGTCTTCGCAGTCTCTCCCTTTGTAATGCTGTCTTTGCAGTGTCTCCCTTTGTAATGTTGTCTACGTAGTCTCTCCTTTTGTAATGTTGTCTCCGTAGTTCTCTCCCTTTGTAATGCTGTCTTTGTAGTGTCTCACTTTGTAATGTTGTCTTCGTAGTCTCCAACCTTGTTATGTTGTCTCCGTAGTTCTCTCCCTTTGTAATGCTGTCTTTGTAGTCTCTCCCTTTGCAATGTTGTCTTCGTAGTCTCCCCCCTTGTTATGGTGTCTCCGTAGTTCTCTCCTTTTGTAATGTTGTCTTCGTAGTCTCTCCCTTTGTAATGTTGTCTTCGTAGTCTCTCCCTTTGCAATGTTGTTTCCGTAGTCTCTCCTTTTGTAATGCTGTCGTCGTAGTCTTTCCCTTTTTAACTTTGTCTGTAGTTCTCTTTATTTGTAATGGTGTCTCCGTAGTTCTCTCCCTTTGCAATGTTTTCTCTAGTTCTTTCCCTTTGCATTGTTGTCCCCGTAGGTCTCTCCCTTTGTAATGTTGTCTTCGTAGTCTCTCCCTTTTTATCTTTGTCTATAGTTCTCTTTAATTGCAATGTTGTCTCCGTAGTTCTCCCCCTTTGCAATGTTTTCTCTAGTTCTTTCCCTTTTTAACTTTGTCTATAATTCTCTTTATTTGCAATGTTGTCTCCGTAGTTCTCCCCCTTTGCAATGTTTTCTCTAGTTCTTTCCCTTTGCATTGTTGTCTCCGTAGGTCTCTCCCTTTGTAATATTGTCTTCGTAGTCTCTCCCTTTGTAATGTTGTCTCCGTAGTCTCTCCTTTTGTAATGTTGTCTCCGTAGTTCTCTCCCTTTGTAATATTGTCTTCGTAGTCTCTCCCTTTGTAATGTTGTCTCCGTAGTTCTCTCCCTTTCTAATGTTGTCTCCGTAGTCTCTCCCTTTGTAATGCTGTCGTCGTAGTCTTTCCCTTTTTAACTTTGTCTGAAGTTCTCTTTATTTGCAATGTTGTCTCCGTAGTTCTCCCCCTTTGCAATGTTTCCTCTAGTTCTTTCCCTTTGCATTGTTGTCTCCGTAGGTCTCATTCTTTGTAAGATTGTCTCCGTAGTCTCTCCCTTTGCAATTTTTTCTCATTTTTTTCTCCTTTTGTAATGTTGTTTCCTTAGATCTCTAATTTTGCAATGTTGTCTTCGTAGTTATATCCTTTTGCATTGTTGTCTCCATAGTCTCTCCCTTTTAAATGTTGTCTTCTAAGTCCCTCCCTTTGTAATGTTTTTTTTTCCGTAGTTGTCTTACCTAAGTAATGTTGTCTCCGTAGTTTTCTTACCTTTGCAATGTTGTCTCCGTAGTTATCTACCTTTGTTATGCTTGACCGTGGTTCTTTCCCGACGTAATGCTATCTCCGTTAACCTCTCCCTTTGTCACGTTGTTTTCGTGTTTATCTCTCTTTGTAATACTGTCTCCGTAGATCTCGCCCGTTGTTATTTCGTCTCCGCAGTTCTCTCCCTTTGTAATGCTCACATCGTTGTTCGTTCCTTTTGAAACATTTTTTATTCCATATGTATTATGTATTCCTTTGTAATATTATGTCCGTGATAATTTCCCTTTGTGATGTTGTCACCATAGTGATTTCTCTTTGTAATGCTGCGTCCATGGTTCTTTTCTTTTGTTACGTAGTCTCTGTAGATTGTCCTCCTTTTCCGGATGTTGCGTCCGTGGTTCCCTTGGTTTTTTTTATCGCGTTTCAATTTTATATGCTTATTTGATCATGTACAATGTACGATTTTGGCGTTATAACGCAGACACATATGTACATTTAACGTGTAAAAAACAACATTTTTATGGATTATATATGACTATTGGAGTGAACATTATTTCATTTCTGGCAATCTGCTTCTAAAACCAGGTATTATAGGTGCGATTACATATGTTTGTTTCACATTTATCCTTCATGATGCAAGGTGATGGACTCTGCCTGTGGATTTCTTTGTCACCTAGGTTCGCCCTGACCTTGATAGTTTATTGTATAATGTACAGCGTTACCACTCAGATACATTGTCACAAAACAGTATAAGAAGAATATGATGAGATATGCTTGGATTATCGATAAATATTAGTAAGATTTATTTTAATTTTCTATCCATTTTGAACGTAAAATTAAAAACCTTTCATATTTATTCAATTTTAACTCAAAATGTTAAAATTAGTCTCAGAACTTTAAGAGTTAGAGTCGATACGAAGAGAATTGATTCATATAAATGTTTACGACAGACTAGCGGTCTCTATGACTGTCATGATCAACATATCTAACACTTTCAGAAGTCAACAGACAAGAACATAATCACATCAAATGGGGCTTGTCCGGTGTCTAATACGTGTTAATGTTTCTCTCCACTCCTATGCAATAGCACGCTAATAGGCCATAACTCCGTTAGATTCATCCAGTTAATGGAATAACTTCGTATTTCTACACACAGACTCTTTCTTTATCTATTCCATATTAATCAGCCGGAAATCACAATCAATAAGGAATTAGAAGGGAAAACAACAAAATATAAAGAAGACTTAATAAATCCTGGCACAGCTATTACAGTGTAACAAATCACTCTCACTATGATGTCTGTAGTCCAACCCAGA